ACCCATCTTAAAGCTGCCAAGGTTGAGAAACACTGCACCCCATATTCAAACTTGCATCGTATGGTCTGGTTAGTTTTCCGTGTTCTTCTTCTTCCAAACCTGGACGGCAGTCCTCCCTCAACTCCATACAGCGGCTGGCACGTGAGCGAAAAGAGCGTCAGGAATTCAGGAGAACGCCATCTCAAACTTGGAATGGAAAGAATAAATCAGTTTTGCTGATATGAAGAGGAGGTGGTTCCCCCTCCCCAGGCAGCATTATGGGTACCAGATGGGCGAAGGAATATAAACGGGGGTTGCAAGCGAGGTTTCTAGGCAGCCCCTGGATGAAGAGAAAGTGTGAACGTGGATGGTTGTAACTTCCTTTTGTAGCCTGCAAAATCAGTCTGATTGGTGTAGCGTGTAAGAGACCTGGGCATGTTATTGCTTGTGCTCGGCATTGCTTAAAGAGTTTGACGCTGGATGGTTTTTATTTTTTCCCCTTGGCAACCTCTTGGTGGGGGTGTCCAACCTTTGTAAGAGGAGTTGTCCTCCGAGCCGAGGAATGTTGAGGGACGGGCCCTCCTTGTGTCTGTTTGCATGGAGCCGCAGCAGCGCTTCGGGGAATGTGCTGTTTAATGCGCACACACCTGCACGTTGGTGCGTTGTGCACACGTGCATGCAGAGGTGAGCGGGGACATTCGAACGCACCAGGGTAGGATTTGCGTTCTCCGGAAGATCGCTGGAGAAGGCCTCCGAGCAATTGGTGTGCAACTGGGCCAGCAGTGCTGAGAAGCTACCTCCGAATTCTTCAGCTGGCTTCACCAAGGGGAGTGGCTGGGACAATCTACTTCCTGTTCGGTGCCTGCTTCTGTGTGCTTTAGAGAGGGTGTGCGTGCATCTAAATAGAGCGTGTTTATCACTTCGATTTTTTTTTTTTTGGTAGTTTCTGAAAAAGCAGGGGAAGAGAGGAGGAACAGAGGAAACCATATGATATCATAAGCAATTCAGCCAATAATGCATTTCATCTCGTGGAAACTGGCATACCCATTGGCGCTGGATGCTGTGAGGTTTGGACTGGATAATCTTTATTTTTAAAGGAGCAGCGGCCTCAATCCCTTTGGGTTTTTCTTCTCCTGGTACCTTGGGCAAAAGATGTTCCGTTCGGTGCTTCCAGCTGTCGTCTGGGTGGACGGCTAACTCAGCCCACCGTCCCAGGCGTAAAGGACTTTCTCTGCAGCTCACAGGGGGCTTTGGAGGCCGGAAAAACACATAAGTGTTTGGGTGTTTCAGTGGTGACACCTGGTGTTGTTTTCTGGTTAATGATTTGTCAGTGCTTGGCTAGTCCTTTGGCTTGAAAGCAGTGTTTGAAAGAAAGACTCCATTGAGGTTATTAATTAGCCGTCAATTGGACCCTGCTGCTGATTTTGAAAGCTACGTCAGGCTGCTTGGGGCAAGCCATCAAAGCGGTTTGACCGACCCACTGCATCATCTGCGCTCTACTGTTTGTGCTGAGTTTCTTGCTCGCTTACAGAGATGGGTGTATGTGCCTAGGTGGGCTTGCATAATGGTTTAATCCAATTTTACACAACGCTTCACCAACCTTGCACCTGACTGTGCAGCCTGGTGTGCGCCTTGCAGTCATTTGGAACTCCTAATCCTGATGTTGCAACTACACCAGGCTGGTCCAAGACTCCTGAGCTCTGAGTGTACTGTTGGCTAGTCTCAGTTTCAGCTGCCTGTCTCAAACGCCCTGATTTCGTCCAGGGCTGCTGACGTAGGTCACAGAATTGCTTTCAGATATCCTCCAAAAGGCACAAAAGTGAGCTCTCTCTTCCAGTCCATGGTTTTGCCCTATATCCCCCCATGTTCTCTGCATTCCTAACTATTCTTTCTCAGGAATTTCCTAATGCTTACTCTGTGTAAACCCAAAGCGCTTAATGCTGTTAAGAATTACATGGAGACCTGCACAGTTGGACAGTGCCACCCTGCCTGACCCACATTTCAAAATGTCATCTGTTTCTAATGGACACGAAACATTTTTGTCGTGTTTCTTGCCGTACAGAGGCACGTCTCTTTTCCTCCTAGCCTGTACCAAGGCACGCACATCCCATTCTAGTCTGTCGTGAGTGAGTATGACAGATCACGTCCCAGTCTTCGTTTGCGTTCAGCTGCAACGCACACAAGAAACTCTGGGTTCAGACACGCATCCGTACAGATCACAGCAGTCTGTAACTCCAGATAATCCTTGCAGCTTGATCTGTTACACAGCAAGTTGATGCTGCCTGAATACAGCAGGCAGTGAGTTTTTAAGGCTGTGGCCTTTTCGTTGGCAGTTAAAATGGATCACCCCCTCCATTTCCACTCCGCCTTGCTGCATTTTTCTAGTGCTAAACTTGGCAGGTGGATGTTAACGCAATCCAGTCGGCTCTGCTGAGATCAGAGGCTCTGCGGAAATCAAAGGGGATCGGGTTCCTTCTGCAGTGTAGGCTCAGAGGCTCAGCACCTACCATGGCTTGGGAGGTGCGCTCGAAATGCACAGGGTCTTTAGCCCCTATTGATTCCAGTGGGGACAGCAAGATTGTTCACCCAGGATGGGGGACTTCGATGGCTGTATCTACAGAAGGGATGATGTGGGAAAGCGGAGATCCAGGAGCAAAGGGGAAGCGAAATTGGGCCATGATTTCCAAGGATCTTTGGATAGTACCTTTGTACTGTTGTCTGGATTGAAACCCAGGATATGCTGCTGAAAATTGGGGTGGGAGATGGAGATGGACATGTATCCCTGGTCTAGAAACAGTGCTAGAGTCCCTGGGTGCTCCATGAATGTTCTAGAATGCAGGTAGCGCATTGCCGAATTCCCGGTTGCGTTTTCTCTGGGCATAAAACGGTTAGAACCGGCAAACTTAGGATTGGAGGAGACCCAGCTGTTGACCCCTTATAGCCGCTGTTATCAAGTATTTGGATTTTTCACGAGCTTGAATATGAAAACCGATAGGAGGCTGGCCGATCGTGTGCTGCTCTCTTCAGAATCTGCCATTTGGTGATGAAGGGTATTCTGAAGTTATGTTTATGGCTCCCATCTTGAAAGTTTTCAGCATGGATTGCCCAGATAGGTGGGAGAAGTCATAAAATTATTTTTAGTGCGTAAATGTTGGCACGGATGGTGTTTCATGACTTCTGTGGTTGTGAATTGGGTGGCATTCCTCTGTCCCAATAATAGATAAGCATAACATTTCTCGAAAGGATGTTGAAAGCAGAAGAGTTTTTCTATTTTTAAGTGATCCTCCAAAAATACTTTTAACAAATAAAAAAAGTGGGAATCGTTTTCACTTTTATCTTTGGTCTGAATCCTAGCGAAGGTTCTGACTAAATAACAGGAATCGCAAATTTTATTTTTCTAAAAGGGAGTCCTAATCAATACAGCTGTTTGTTGCCTTTGACAGTGGGGAAAACAGAGCTTGTAATCTTCCAACCACATTGTCTTCCTTGGCAGTATAGCCTATCATTTAAGTTTTCAGGAATTTGAATTCCCGAGAGTGTCAGTTTCATTTTTTAAAACATCAAAAGAGATTTCCAGTTGATACTAGTGAGGAATATAATTTTAACCGAAGCCTTTCTGGAGGGTAGAAATTTCCAGGGCTTTTTCATACCTCCCTGGAGGCTAGTTCCTAACTCATATATTCCCTGCTGTAGCATCTCCTTATTACTTCTGTAGCCTCGGCCTGTCTCACCCAAAGATTTAATGGTAAACACCATGCTTGGCGTGCAGATGGTTCCAGTTGCAGTCCTGGACCTCTCCGGGCTGGCCCGCCTGAAGGAAATACCTTCCTGAAATCTGCCGCTTAGCCCAGAGGACCCCGGGTTAGCTGGGACGCTGGCGGTTATTTGACCTCATCTTGTGCCTGTGATCCGATTCCGACAGTCCTGCAAAAGAAAGCAAGCTGCCGCCCGCTTGACAAAATGCAGATTTTTCGAACTGCCGGAGAAGGGAGGTGGGGGGGGGCGCTCAGAACCACGGATTGTTTGGATTTGGGGTAACACGGTGCCTCTTTTCTTCTCCAGAGGGTCCAGCTCAGCCCCGTTGGGAGAAAACGGCATGAGGAGCACCGGCCCAGATGCCCAGTAGGTCTGGTCAGCTTGTTTCGGTAAGGCGACCTCCGTCCCTCCGCCATTCTTGCAAATGTCTCATTGGCAAGGGGCTCTGCAGAAGGCCTTGCCCACCTGGCTCTCCCCACCCTGCACCCCCAGGTGGGTCAGGGCTGCCGCTCTCCAGATCCCCCTCCAGCGGGACCCTCCGGGCTCGGAAGGGTGGGAGCCACAGATCCACAACTCCAAGGGCAACACTTGGCAAAGTCTGGTCTGGTCTAGCCCACACAGTCTCTATGGAAATGCTGCCTGGTTCCAGGCGGGTTTCCTGTTCCGATCTCCATAGCAACCGGGGCTGTATCTAGGCCAGCGACTCTTTCTCTACAGCAATGGTGCCAGGATGTAGGCCGGACCCAACTTTGAGACCGCGACAACCAGGGTTGGGTTGGGAGGCCTCAAGTTTGGGGTGTCTCTTTTTCTAGACCCCTTTTTCGACTTGTCGCCGCTTTCCAGAGTAGTTCGCTGGGCCTGTTGTTTTTAGCATGTTTTTTAGCATGTTTTAGCATGTTGTTTTTAGCATTTTTAGCATGTTTTCCACTTTTGGGAAAAAGAAGTCTCCCATTGCACCAGGCCAAGATGGGTTAGGCGGACTTGGAACTACGCTGGACCTGTATCTGGTTGCCGTGGCAACTTCAGGGTGGCCAGGGTTCCGGCCTCTCTCTGGAAACCAACTTCCTGATGGAGGGACTACAACTCCCAGCCTTCCCAGCCAGGGTGGGCAAGAGCCGTAGTCCAGACATCTGGAGAGCCCCTGTTTGGGTGCATCCAGGCTGTTGGTGCATTGCAAGTCTGCTTACCTCAACCGGCGTTTGCATTTGGAACGGATCTTCTTCTGTTGAGGATGGGGATTGAACGGAGATGTCCGAAAAGACTCTCGGCTGAGCTTTGGGTCGTTGCCATAATGGGAAGGGGGCCTTTGAAAAGGCGATAACGCCGCCCCTCCCAAACGCCTGCGTTTCCCCTTCCTCCCATTGCTGTAGCAACCTGTGCGTCTGCTGCTCCTCTGCGGGAGAGGGTTTGACCTTCCAGCCATCCGCTTGGCAATTTGAATTCTGCGAACGCTAATGCCACTGGGGCCCCCTGAGCCCCCTCCATGTCCAGATGGGGTGGAACATTAGATGCACGCAAGAGGCATCGGGCATAGGTTGGCATTCAATGTGCCCTGGGAACCCACAGGCAACGTTGCAGTCTGTAAAAGCTCTTTTACAGTCTAAAAGAGAGGAGAGGAGCCGTGCAAATTAAGCATAATTTTTGGGAAGGAGTGGGGTATCAGCAGGTGTTGGCTCTGTCTGGACTTTTTTTTTTGGCAACACAGTTTGTGGGGCACAAGATGTGGAGCGGTTTGCCTCTGATTTTCTGTTGACGGCAGTTTTTACCGACAGTTGTAATGTGATCAGCATCCTGGATGGGCACTGTGTTAGGGGCTTCCACCCCCCTTTTTGAATCCCATTGACCAAAGGCTTTTTACAAGCTGCTCTTTCTGTGGTGGACTGTTTCTATATACCCATATTTCAGATGGGGAAAACTGAGGCAGGACATGGGAGACTTCGTCTGAGGGCAACCCCACTAGCTGGGTCATATTGGCCACGCGATAAGCCTGTTGGACAGTGGTGAAGCAAGTTCTCCTAGGGTGTAATTGGATTTCATTTCATCAGGTTGCACACATTTAGGGTAACCGAGCAGAATCAGCTCTTTATTTATCTTTCCTCCCAAGTTACGTGGAGTAAGATAAACGGAATTTTCCTATTATTGTTGCCCCAACCTGGTGAGACAGGTTTGGCCAAGGTCATCTGGTGAGACTGATATGTACACAGGGATGAGAAGCCATTCTCTCCCCGTGCAGTTTGGTAAGGCGAGGGAAGAAAAATTTAAACGTCGGGAGCTATTTGGCCGCATTCTTAAGCACCTGTACGGATGTCTTGAGGTACTTGCAAGTTTTCCCAGGCTGGACCAGGCAGCGGCGTCTCCAAGTTAGGAAATCCTACATTTCTTATTTTGAGGAGATCCAAATCCAGGCGTCTGTCTTTTGCAGCGCGCTCTCCCCCTTCCTGCCCTACCAGTGTCCTGCTCCTGGCTTTGCATTTCATTTTCCATGTTGGTGCAACAATCCGCGGCTGTTCTCCCCCCCACCCCCCGTCCCTGTTGCCGCTCCCTAGCCAATCTGCTGACATCAGCCTCCATGACTCACAAGCAACCCAGCCCTATAAAAATCCACTCTGCTTCCCTCCTTTTCTTTTTTAATCAGCTTGGGCGTCATGCCGGCTTCAGCGCTCCCCCGTTTCAGAGACCTACCCACTCCCACCACCTTTGCCTGTAGCCAGCAGCAAAGATGGGGTTCCTCCTTTTCCACATCCCCTCTTGCTTTCCTCGAGGGTCTGTGCGCATAGGTGGGGGGGACACACATGGGTAAGTGAATTTTGCTCTTCTTCCCTTCCTGCAGCGGCTCACCTTTCTCACCCAGGTGGAAATGTTCGCAAATAGGGGTGGAAAAAGTGTGCCGCCTGTGAAAAACGTGGACGTGTGTCTCCCAGATATACATGCTGGACAATTTTAGGAAAACTGAAGGTCCTAGGGAGCACATTGCCCTGTTCCTCTCCTTTGGACTTAAATCACAGAAGTTGTCTAATATTATAAGGAGGAGAGTCGTGTTAGTCTAGGTAGCCAAAAATCTGAAGGAGTCTGGTAGCACCTTTTCCGACTAACACATTTTATTAAAAGGAAGAAGCTTTTGTGAGCTTATGAGAGTAGTCTAATTTCTGATTCGTTCCCCTGGGTGTTTGCGGGGCGTCCTTCCCCGTGAAGTTAGAGCCTTGTGCTACAGAAACTGAGTCATGGGTGTACATGGGCAGCCCTTTGATTCCACAGCGGACAGGGCTGCGTCTTCCAGTAGCCACGGCACGATGTTCAGTACTGAGGGATGCTGGGAGATGTTGCATCTTCTTTACCCAACATGGTGCCCACCAGAAGGCCAGGGGATTGGCACGCATGGGCGTTGAAATCCCGCTGGTCTGGAGGGCAGAGCTTCCCTGGGCTGTCTGGGAAGGGGCTTCTCCCAACCGCATCAGCCCTCCTGGGATCTTTCGCACGGGATCCTCTGCCCGACGGTAGATCCATGGTGTCGTTCTGGGAGGAAGCCCCGGGGTGTGCCCAGGGCCTTGGCCGATTTGTAGCATCTGAGGAAGGTCAGCAGTGTTTCAGACCTACAGGTGGAGGGATGCGGTGCCCAAATTGGAGGGGGTCTCCTGCCGTCGGCAGCCAGTTGGCAGGCACAGCCCCCGGGTTTGAGGCTTGAGGGGTTCTTGGGGGGGAATCCACGTCTGCCTCCTGCCCACCACTTAGCTTGCCCTCCGCAGCCACGTTCAGTTTGACTGCTGCATCCCCCCTCCTCAAATCCCTGCTCCCCACCCCAACGTGGTCTTCCCTTCCCCCTCCTCTCTTTCTCTCTCCTCCATCCCGGCCTGTTTCCATAGAAACCCCCTTTCCGTTTGGATACTCCCGTCACCGCCAGGAAAGGCTCTGAGCGTGCGCGTGTGTCTGGGCCAGACCGACGGACACAGAGAGAGCGCTCCTCCTGAAAGGATCGTTCCTGTGCGGTTCTGTCCGCGCTGATACACGCATGCTCTTCCTACGTGTGCAACTATGCAGGCTTTTGCAAAACCCCGGTTGGCAGGGTTGCAAGTCTGGTTGGCCGTGGGGGGAAGCAGAAGAGAGAGAGGGGCAGGGCAAAATGGAGGGCACACCATCCTTTGGGCACACAAGAAGAACTGGCAGAGCCAGGCCAGTGCCAGCTTTTGGGCACCAGAGGAGCCAGGCCTGGTGCCTAAATCAAGATGGAGCAGGTTTGGCTCTTCAGCCCAGCTGGCACTGGAAATGGTGTCCTTCAGCCATTTTAGGTTGCCGGGAAGGGAATCCCTTGAGCGAAATGGCTCTGCCAAGGGGAAGAAAAAGCGGGACGGAAGCTGCATTTTGGAAAGGAGCAGAAGGGCTTCCTCGAGCCAGGGCCGGCAGCTGGGGTCAAGCAGGACTTTCCTGGGTGCTCCTGGCATGGCCTGTTTGGGGCCTGCAGATGGCTCCTTCCTGCTGTTCTTGGTTGGGCGACTTCCGCTACCTTCCCAGATTGCAGGAACTGACATCTGAAGGGCTGCCTCTCCTCCTTCCCCTCCCACTCCCATTTCCAAAAACCGTGTCCCAGCAGCCTCAAATTTGGCCTCCCTGCTCCGGGGAAACCTCTTTTGGCCCCAAGCCATCCTCTCCTCCGAGGCAGATGTTTTGGGATCCTCCTTAAGTGGCCCCTTGCCTTTGCAGGAAGACCTGGCTTCACATTTGGCACAACCCCTTTTTCCCCCCACCCTTTGCTCCCCCAAGGAAACGTGAATTTGCTCTGCGGCCTTTCTCAACTTTGGGGACTAGATACAGCAATGTTTTTCAAAGTTGGCCATTTGAAGAGGTGTGGACTTCAACTCCCAGAATTCTGGGAGTTGAAATCCACACCTCTTCAAGTGGCCAACTTTGAAAAACAACCGATAGAGCCCGAGGAACTCCCAACTCCAGGACCCTTGCCTTCTTGCCCAGATCCCTGACGTCACAAGATCTCCGTCTCTCCTTTTCGCTGTAGGTCTGAGGCAGCACAATGGCTCCAGTTGTGGAGGTCACGGACATCAGCCACTCCAATTCCCTTTTGATCCAGCTGAACGAGCAGCGCCTGCGCGGTCAGTTCTGTGACATCACAATCATCGCCGAAGACACCAAGTTCAAGGCCCACAAAAATATTCTCGCCGCCTCCAGCCCGTACTTCAAGGAGGTCCTTTCAGAGGACTCGGTGTGTCGCCAGCCGAGCCAGATTCTGGAGCTTCCCGACATCCAGGCCAAAGTCTTCTCGGACATCCTGAACTTCATCTATAATTCTCGGCTCTCGGTGCCCAGTCCGGCTGTCGCCAAGGAGATTGGAGCGGTTGGCCGGCGCCTGGGCATCTCCCGCTTGGAAAACCTGGATGACCCCTTGGCTGATGTCAAGATGGATAGCTCCGGCATTGCCTGTGCTAGAGCTTGCAGTTCGCCCATTGACCTCACCTGCCCTTCCCGCTCCATAGAGCCTTCCAGCCCCGTCTGCTTCCAGGATTTGACCAAAGCATACAGCCCCGGGCAGGAGGCCCGCCCTGACTCTGAAACAGAAACTGCCAAGATCCTCTACAACCTCAGCTCCGTCGCAACCGTGCCGCCTCCCCCGCCCTCCGACCTGACTTTCATGCTGAAGGAAAACGTGGGTTGGGACCACAGCCTCCCTGCGACTCCCCCTGCCCCCTCTGCCCACACAAACGACGGGGCCCAAGGGGCGGCCTCTTCTTCCTCACCCCCACCCCCATCCGGGGCTTCCTACCCAGCCAGCAGCACCTTTTGCTGCGGTAGCTGCCACCGTTCCTTTACCACGTCTTCTGCTCTCAGCCTCCACGTGAAGCTCCACCGGACGCCGCGCCCGCCGTCCTGCCGCCACTGCGGGAAAAGCTTCATTCACATCAAGCGGCTACAGACGCACGAAGTCTTATGCAAGGAGGTGGAAAAGCCCGAGCAGGGTGCCTCTGCGGACAAGGCGCCACCCAGCCCCGTGTTGCCTTCCAAGCCGACCGCAGCGGCAGCATCTTCCAAGAAGGGCGTGCTTTTCCGCCACCGGGGCCCGCCAAGGGTGGATTATATCTCTGACCAAGACCACTTTGTCAAAGTGGTGGACGGGCACATTATCTACTTCTGCACCGTCTGCGAGCGGTCCTACATGACCCTTTCAAGCCTCAAGCGCCACTCCAACGTCCATTCCTGGCGGCGCAAGTATCCGTGCCGTTACTGTGACAAAGTCTTTGCCCTGGCTGAGTACCGCACCAAGCATGAGGTTTGGCACACAGGGGAGCGACGCTACCAGTGCATCTTCTGCTGGGAGACCTTCGTTACTTACTACAACCTGAAGACTCACCAGAAGGCCTTCCACGGCATTAACCCTGGGCTGATATCCTCCGAGAAGACCCCCAATGGGGGCTACAAGCCGAAACTTAATGCTCTGAAACTCTACCGCCTCTTACCCATGCGTTCCCAAAAGAGGCCCTATAAGACGTACAGTCAGGGCGTGGTGCCAGAGGACCTTCTGCACCCAGCTCAGGCTGTCCCCATGACGCTGGGGGAAGGCGACTCATTGGACGGGAACTTGGTCTCCTCGCTGAGCACTAGCGACGTTGCTTCTGTGTTCACCACCAAGGGCCCCTCTTTAGAATTGCCAGAGGCAGAACAGTTCCAGCCGCAGGAAGCCGTGAGCGCCGAGGAGACGTCCGTCCTCCCAGCTACTGGTGAGAAGGCCCACCTGGACAAGGGGCCACGGTCCTTGAGCACAGAGGCTCCCACGGTCATCGCCTACGGGCGCCCCGCCTCTTCGGTGATCGTTCATAGCACCTCAGTGAAAGCGCAGGCCCCTTCGGTGATCACGTACAACAGTAAATCTTCAAGCGCCCCGTTAACGGCAGGGTCTCCCCCGCTGCTGTCACAGCCCCCACCTTCTCCAGTGGTGGCCAAACCCATTAAGAAGCAGGTGCTGAGGGAATACATTCAGTCACAGAAGATGGAGGAACAGGCTTCGGAAGAGGACGGGAGCGAGCAGGGGCACAAGGCGAGGGGGCCACGGGCTGGGCGCACCATGACTTACATGGCCAAGCCGGCCTACGTGGGAGCCACCTCTGAAAGCCGGGCTGCGCCGCTCTGCCAGATCACGGTGCGCATTGGCGAAGAAGCCATCGTCAAGCGGCGGATCTCCGAAACAGACCTCATGCTGGACAAGAGCAGCCGGGTTGGAGGCAGACGCCTGGATTTTGGCAGGGACCAGAGCGGAGAGAAGCAGCAGCATGCGCTGCCCCCAACACTCCACAGCAAGCGCGACAGGGTGTACGCCAACGAGAGCGGCGAGGAGGAGAGCGACCGCGGAGACACGGAAGACCAGCTTTGGCGCCCTTACTACAGCTACAAGCCCAAGCGGAAGCCTTCCGGCGGAGGCGGCCACGGCGCGGGCAACTCCTTGCCGAAGGTGAAGAAGTCGCGGTGGCGTCACAAGCTGCGCTCCCTGCGGTGGGTGAAGCGGTCAGAGGAAGCCAAGGAGGGGGGCAGAGCGGGAGCTGGCCCGCCAGGCTCTGCTGAAGGATCTGGGGCGCAGGGAGCTGCCTCCGAAAGGGGCG